ATTGGCTGAACGTTGAACGGGATGAATCCTTTACAAAAAAAGTCTAGTGCAAACTCGGCTGACTGAGGGACCAATCTCCCTTGACACGAGTGCCTGACAAATTATATTTTTTAAACACCTGCCCACACAAACAGCTACATGAGTCAAAAATGGTGAAAAAGTTGTACTGAGTCTCGAACAAGCCTCTTGGCTGTCTACTGTTTTGGCTGCATTTGATACATTTAAAACTCAGCTAGGCCGGGAGTCGCGGAGAGGCAACACCAACTTCAATTGAAAGAACCCATGTTTCATTATTAGTATCGGAAAACCTTTTTTCCCCAATATCATTTAAAACATAGAAGGACCTTCATCAGACTGTCATTGATTCACCTTCGTTAGTAGTTTTCAGTCACAATTTAAAACAACTATATTGCAGTAACCCTCTGAAATTAAGTTGGTTTCCACTCTTCTGAAGGCCTCCTTGTTAATTTACAGAGGAGAATTCAGGAGGAATTTCTACGCGGAAGTACATGTACCAAGAAATGGTGGTGCTACAGATTTGGTATTCACATTCGGATATTGTATGATCCAGATGTCGTCAGACTTCTACATCTGACTGGGATTGTGCTGGGATTAGATTCCAGAAAAGGATTTCACTCTTCTAGCTTCCTGGACTGTGTTCATTAATCTCTAAAGCCCTGGGGATGGTGGAGACGCCATCCATCAACGGGGTGATACAGGGTTCTCAACCCAGGTATTGTGCAAAGGAAATCTTCAATATTTCCTAGCTTGCATTAATCATTCATGCAGACAATATTACAGCGAACATACACGAGACAGCCCTCTCGTGTCAAAGAGACAACTCAGTCCGTATGAAAAAAAACCAAAACAATCGCTCGAATCGCCACGGCACCGACAGAATTTGACAAATGGCATTCTTTGCCCGTATACCCGCCTGCACCTTAAATTAACTTGTCAGCCTGATCGCGGTTGCATGTGTACACTGGTGCACCTTTCAAGACTCGCATTATGTACGAGAAAACACATTTATTATGTATTTCCACCAATGAATTAACTGTTTCCTCCTTTATCGGTTTACCCGATGGTGACAAGTGCCATTAGCGAATGAGGAATGAAATGCAACAGATTACTGAACCACAAGGGTACTTCGAGAAATTTTTACTGTAGACTTCTATCGTTTTGCTTAGCGGCAGTAGTTTCTAGTGGGTAATAAACATAATTGACCGTCGATACAAAAGCAAAAGAATTCAAAATATATTTCATACTACCTCATGCTGTCATGCACTTACCAAAACAGCAAATAATAAACTACAAGTTACTGCATGAAAACTACAAGATTTTTTATATTTATATTAATTCCTCTTTAACCCTTAAATATTAACGAAGGAAGAATGCATTTTGAGGCAAAGCTTGTTAATATATCATGCAAAGGATGGACGTTTTCTTAAAAATTTTGGCTCCCAATACAAATACATAGTGGGCAAATGATCTGTAGTGCAGTGAACGAACATGCTGGGCCCTCGAACTCACGAAAACAGGAAATAATCTGAGCCATCGAAGAAAGCAAATTTCAAGTCGAGCTACATGTACTAAGACCTGGAACCCAAGCATACACCCTCATCGGCCTAGCTGATTTCGAGTTGTCGAAATTTGTCACAAGTTGACGGAGCATCCGGATTACTTGGCTTAGTCGGCACGCGAGCCTGTGATTATAGCTGCCGGATGGGAGCAGGACATTCACTATCCAAATACACACGTGTAACTGTCAGACGCATCACACACCGCAGGTCTTTCATTGTTTTGGAGTTGAGTGCATCAACACTTTTCATTAATTTCCATAACCACTTAATCCCTCTGGAGCGTGTTTTTGTCGAAGTCTGTCCCGCGAGATTGATCTCGCACCAAAGTACTCCCTCTCTCTGAAGAGAAAACGATGATGGGTAAACGCTCCAAAATTTAGCCGCACACCTCAGGGACACCATGAAGGTCACAAGCAGAATTTTTTTTACCTTACCGTAGGTAGAAGCGGGAACGAAGGTCTGATCCAAACGGAGTTCAAATCGTGACTAGTAATAACTCAAAATAAGTCACTACAGGGCTGTTTCGGGGTATCTCAGATCTATCTTTGAATTTGTAATGAGGCCGAGCTGTCACTCGGCCGAAAAAAATTGTCATAGACTCATCGAGTTGCCCATCTGCACGGAAATCTTTAGTAAAAGGCGAAAGATTTATGCGTGATGCAGATGGACCTGAGATACCGTGAAGTCTTACAGGGAATGTCAGGTTCAGAGGAAACAACATGACATCCACGGTGGGCTATAATTATGAATGGTGAAATGCTGCAGTATTTGCGCATGCGCACCACTTCGTTGCTCCGATCATGGAGGAAGGCCACAGAAGGAGTTCCAACTCTGGCACTTCATATACACCAATTTTTCAATTTTTCACACCAAACAACACTGAATGGTTGAGAATGCATCAAAAACCTCAATTCCAGAGAAACAATGAAAAAAATTGTCTAATGGCTGTATATGGAGAGAAAATGCTCAAGGTCAGCCAATAGCAAATGTGCACAAACTACTGCAGACTGCCTATATACACCAACTAGTGCAATTACAATTGTGCAGTAAGCAGCTGAAAATTACACTTTTCACATGAGTAGCTTTGACTACCTGTTCCTACTGATAATGGGGAGGGTTACCCAGGCTAGACACTGCCAACTGTAGAGGCCAAGTGCACGAAAGACATAAAACTTTGGCCATGCTTTGACATGAAAACTCACCGTAGATATTACTCCAGTTGACAGG